CAAAGTGGAAACGCCAACTGTATCTGTTTGAGGGGCAAATTAGTCTCTTTGGTCAGGACTTAAGATTGAACTAGTCCATGGAGCTTTGTGGAGACTCTGGTCCAAATATTTCATCTATAAAGTGCTTTACAAACTTTGAAAGCATTGCGTAAATGTCAGTAATTATTATCTGTCCTTAGTTCTAATGCAGCATCTACCTAGGCCTTTGCTCCAACCGACTGATTCTGAAATAACTACTACATATAGATGTATGTACTTGTTCTATGTCTGTTAAAACAGTCAGGATTTTTTTGGGGGGGGCCAGTTATTGGGTCCTCACCACAACCAGTACCTTTTAATTTTCTTCTTGAAATTGTTTCCCCAGTGCCTAGCATAGTGTTTGGCACATAATGAACACTTTTTTTTTTAATAATAGACACTTAATAAATACTTATTGATTGATTAATGATTGAGTGAAAAAGTGTTCATGATCACAGTTATCAAAAGAACCACAAAATCCCAGTATGTTGCATTTGAAAGAAGGCTCAGAAATAGCATGTTAGCCTGAGCAAGAATCCCCAGAACAACATACCTGGTTAAATAATCTTTACTTGAATTTATCTGGTGAGTGAGAGCTCATTATCTACCATAATGGCCCATGCTACTTTGGGATAGCTTTGATTGTTAGAAAATTTTATTTACACCAAGGCTACATTTTCCTTTTTGAAACTTCAAACCACTCCTCCTCATTCTACTCCCATAAAGCTAATCAGAATAAGTTTAATGTCTCTTCCATGAGCTGGCCTTTCAAATACTTGAAAGCAATTTTTACTTCTCTCCTGTTTCCTCTTCACCAAGCCAAAAATTCCTATTTCCTTCAGTCTATCCGAAGAAGACATGATCTTGAAGTCTTTCACTTTCCTAGTTGCCCTCCCATCTCTGAACATTCACTAGATTATCAATTGTTTTGTGTCTGTTCAAACATAAATCTTTTTTTGTTGTTTTTTGGGGGGGGGGGGGGGGAGATGTCACTAGGTACTCACCATAACCAGCATCTTCTGATTCCCTTCTCAAAGGGAATGGTGGTGTGCAGAACTGATCACAATACTTCAGATGTGGTCTCACCAGGACAGACTAGAGAGAGATGATCACCTCCCCAGTTCTGAACACTCTACCTCTGTTACTGCAGTTCAGTGATTGTGTCTGTGATATCACATTGTTGACCTTGCAGTCACTAAAGCTCCCAGATCTTTTTCAGTTATCTAATCTTCTCCAATCTTGTACTTATGTAATTAATTTTTTTGAGTCATTGGAGAAATTTACATTAAACTCTAGTAAGTTTTTTTCCTATTCTCTTTAGGCTAATGTTCTAGCAGAATGTGGTTTCCAAATCATTGTTGTTGTTTGTCCTTTATTTTTGAAGAGGATCACTGACATCACAGGTGATGTCTTGACTTGCGTGTGAATTGGATTTAAGTGAGGCAGAGATGCACAAAGTTGTCAGCCTTGCTCTTTCTTCCTGAGTCATCAAAGTCCAGTGGCAGGACAAAAGTCAAGACCATTATCTATGGCCAGGAATGCAGTGGATGACCTTGGCATCTTCCATGTCTGACCAAGCTTTAAGCCCTCCACAGCACCTGCTTCAGTTACCTTTATGGCCATTGGAACAAATTGTTCTCACCCACCCATTCCATGGGAGGGAGGGGCCAGAAGTCTGCACGTGCTTGGAGTAGACAACCCCCTAACTCACCAACAGGTTTGAGGCCTGGTTTAGTCCATCTGCTAAGATAGCTCACCAGGTTGTGGCTGCTGTGCAATCTATAGCTTCTTGGAGCCACAGGTGAGAGTTGAGTGAAGGTGGACCCCAAAGGTGAATGTGCAGCCCTGAAAAGGGTAAGCCAGAGGTGCCAGTTCTTCCGAACGCTCTATATACCCCAAGTTATGTCAACCAGCCTTGACCCTTTCTATGTCTTTTTTCCAAACTATAATTTTCAACATAGTTTTTGTTGTGCTTCTCTGTATATTGAAGTCAATGAATATCAAGACATAATATTTAGTTTGTAGGATATTATCTATTAGCTAGGCTGCCTGGATTAGCCTTTATCCACTGCTTCTGAATGTAAAATGATTCTCATCGCCTGGTAGATCAAATCTCAAATCCTCAGTCTGGCATTTGAAGTCCCCTTTCAACAAGCCCCGCCCTATTTATTATTCCAGGTTATCTTTTATAATCTCCAACTTGGGTCTTCTAAGTTTCCTTATGACTCCTCCCATAAGCAAGCCATTCTTATTATTCTCCCTTCATCTTTGTTCAGGCTGCTCACACACCTTGGAATATGCTTTCCCTTCCTCTCCATTAATTCAAATACTATGCTTCCTTCAAAGCTCATCACCTACATGAAATTATTCTAGGCTAATTGTAGCCTATAACATTCATTCACTTCTCTGTATTTTCTTTATTCTGAACTACATTCTTATAATGAATCATTTTCAAGTTTGTTTCATGATCTTCCTCTATCTCCCAAATTAAAAATTTTTACCAGTAACAACAATAATAACTAACATTTATATGGTGCCTACTATGTACCAGGCACTATGCTAAGCACTTTTATCTCTCATTTGATCCTCACAAAAATCTTGGGAGGTTGGCGCTATTATTTTCCCCATTTTACAAATGAGAAAACCGAAGCAGATAGAGGTAGTAATTTGCCCAGAGTCACAGAACTAATATAGTTATTCCTTCCACATTGCAACTTTCCCCATTGTGGGGCTTTGAAATATCTTGGGTCAGCATAAGAAATTAAATGAGTTATACGGGCCGCACGCCGACCTTCTGCCAGTCGTGCGCCAGTACCCACTTCTCCTAAAAGAAGTACACTGCCAGAGTCTTACCCACTCCCGGGTCTTCGGTACTCAGCCGGATCACCACACAGAGACAAGCCATCGGGAGGCACCAACACCAGAGCTTTATTCAGAGGCCAACACAGCAAACCATCATAGCAAGCCCAAGCAGCAAGGCCAGAGCAACAGGGCAGGAGCCAGGGGAGAGCGCACGTGTGTGATCTGACCACGCTTGTTCCTAAGTACCTACTTAGCCCCTCCTCCCCAGCCCGCTACTAGCCAATGATTGTAGGGTCAGATACCGGAAGGGGCTGTCTGAGTTTAACACACCAAGGGGGGAGGGAGTGACGTAGGAGGCCAGGATTGGATACAGGAAGGAGGCATCTGGGATTGACGCATAGACAAGAGTAAGTGACCTAGGAAGTCAGACTCAGGAGGGGACTGGGTCAGTGCTGCACGAAGGGACCCGGAGGTCAGGAAGGTCACAAGAGGCATCTGGGGATGACGTTGCATATAGGGAGGGGACTAAGCAGAGGGAACTCAGTCCTCTGCCATCCCACTCCCACGTGGCACCGCCCCTTGCCTCAGGAGCTCAGGCTCGGCTACTTCCTTGCACCCAGCTTATCTCATAGCACTGCCCAATTGCCTCATGGCTTCTCCGTATCCAGCCCATCCCAGTACACACGACTCTGCCTACCACAGTCCCTGCCTCGACTTCCAAAATACCCAGATCTTACCCTACCCTTGCCACAGTACCCAACCTGGTAGCTGCCAACATCAGACAGTCCCTCACAATGAGTATTTTTTGGGAGCTTTCGGGAAGCCAAAACACAGGAAGACAACACAGAGCCTATGACCAAAGACTTAACTCAAATTTTATAATAAGGTACTGTAAACATCCCATAAAAGAAAAAGAAAAAAATTTTTAGTGGTAGCAAAGAATTGGAAGTTGAGGGGATGCCCATCAATTGGGGAATGGCTGAACAAGTTGTGCTATATGAATGGAATGGAATACTACTGTGCTATAAGAAATGATGAGCAGGCAGCCTTCAGAAAAACCTGGAAAGATTTGTATGAATTGATGCTGAGTGAAATGAGGAGAACCAGGAGAACACTGTACATAATAACAACCACATTGTGCAATGACTGACTTTGATAGACTTAACTCTTCTCAGCAAAGCAAGGATCTAAGACAACTCCAGAAGACTTACGATGGAAAATGCTATCCACATCCAGAGAAAGAACTTTGGAGTCTGAATGAAGACAGAAGCATATTATTTGCTCTCCTTTTCTTTTGTTGTTCTGTTTTGTTTCTTCTTTCTTGTGGTTCCTCCCATTAGTTCTAATTCTTCTTCACATTATAACTAATGTGAAAATATGTTTAATATGAATGTATATGTAGAGCCTATATCAGATTGCATGTCATCTTGGGGAGAGGGGATAAGAGGGAGGGAGAGAAAATTTAAAACTCAAGATCTTATGGAAGTGAATGTTGAAAACGAAAAACAAATTGATTAATTAGAAAAAAGAAAAAGAAAAAAAATTCAGACTTCTTCCCTGGTATGAAGGGAGGGCCAAAATTTTTTACGTGGATTTTCCAGATCATGGGGATGCCACGTCCCTAACCTCCAAGATGTGGAAATGATAACTGTAAATGTCTGAGAGAGGTAGGATTTGAACTCAGGTCTTCCTAAGTGCAGCCCTGTGTTCTATCCCCTGTTTCACCTAGCTGATTAATCATTTTAATTATTCCCCAAGGGCAAGGAGTATTCTTGTACTATTCTTGTATGCTCCACAGTGCATAGCTCTGGACATGCAATTGGTCCTTAATAAATTGTTGGTGAGGAGCAGCTAGGTGGCACAGTAGATCGAGTTCTGGCCTTGGAGTCAAGTGGACCTGGGTTCAAATCGGGCCTCAGACACTTGACCCTTACTAGCTGTGTGACCCTGGGTGAGTCACTTAACCCCAATTGCCTCACCAAAAAGCAAAAAAAGATAAGTAAAAAAATAAAGAAAGATATGCAGAATGGGACATGTGTTTCTCAGACCAGATACTTGACACTTACTAGCTGTGTGACCCTGGGCAAGTCGCTTAACCCCAACTGCCTTGCAAAAAAAAAAATAAATAAATAAATTGTTGGTGCATGAATAAGGAAAAGAATTAAGACCAATCACAGCTATTGAAGCTATTCACACATTTATTCAACAAGATTTTGTTGTTGTTGTATTTTTGTTTTTGTTAAAAAACAAAACAAAACAAAAAAACCAACAACAATCTTTTCTGGGTTAGAAGAAGTTGAAAACCAAAGCTTCTAAGTCTCGTTCTCATATGTAGATTTTAAGCATTTCCTTGATCGTCGTCTGTAAAGAGAAGAGAGAAATAAGAAAGCCTTCCCTGAAGTTTCAGACCAATTGGGTGATTTCCCCAGTTAGATCTGCCTGCCCTAGTGAAAGAAAGCCATTAGCAGACTATGCAGGAAAGTGTGACTCAACAGAGATATTCACCACACGATAAACATGCAGCTTGGGGGTAGAGGGGGATATATCACTGTAATCAGAGATGCCTGGTCAGAGTTAGGGGCCCTCTCTCCAGCCAGCTCCATCTGTGCATAAGCAATAACTGGTCAGTGCATTGTGAAAGAGACTTAGCAGTTAAAAGAATTAGATACAGAGGCCAAGAGATAAACTAAAAACATCTGGGTCCACGTTCTGGAGCATCTTACCTGTGCTGCAAGGGGCATGGTACTCGGCAACACCTAATTCATCTGAAAGAAACAAAAATGGTGAGGGTGAGAGAGAGGAGTACCAGGGACTGATGCATATATCTTAAGTGCATTAGGTTTCTGTATTTAGTTTCCTTAGTGGTGGGAAAGAGGGATATCATGTCAAAACTCCAAGTAAATTGACTTTACCATATTAGAGACAAAATGATGTTCTATTAACCATTAAGTAATGGGAAAAATTAATAATACCTTCCTTTCCTTGGAAGCACCTTGAAACCTTGTTCTAAATGTGGCTATTCAAATTTAAGCTACCCAGGAAGGACTCCATTTTCTTAATGAAGTAGCTGACTGGCATGTGGATAGAACACTGGGCCTGGAGTCAAGATGACCTGAGTTCAAATTCCACTTCAGATACTTACTGGTTGTGTGACCTTTGGCAAGTCACTTAACTTCTGTTTGCCTCAGTTCCCTCAACTGTAAAATAGGGATAATAATAGCACCAACCTCCCAGGGTTATTGTGAGAATCAAATGAGATAATATTTGTAAAAGAGCTTAGAACAGGGCCTGGCACATAATAAGCACTATAGAAATGCTAGCTATTATTTTTATCATCATTATTGCTATTATTATCCCATACACAAACCTACATTATAACCAAATTGGCCTAAATGCTGTCCTCAAAAATGCATTGTCTTTGTTCAACCTTCTCTCTTGTCCCTCTATTTATCAAGATCAAATCTCTTCATGCTGGAAGTTCACTTCACCCTTGGGCACTGGAGTACCCTCCTCCCTGATGCCTTATCCTCTGACTGGCTAGCTCTTCCCAGAACTTTTGTTTTAAAGATGCCACCCAGGCCAACCATGTCTTTTTTCCTCTCTTAGGAGCATTCCTGATTCTCTGGACTTTCTCTGCAATGTTCCTACGTAGATACTCCATTCTTCCCCCACCACCATTTTTCAGCTTTCTTTTATGTGCCTGGCAAATAACAAGTGCTTAATAAATGCTTCTTGACATGGCTTATGCCCAGGCTGAACTAAGTTCAGCTAGAATTAGCGACAGCATGTCCTAGTAATTATCACTGCAACAGTAAGGGTAGGCAGGATTAGGCTGGCACCTAGAATGAATGCTCAGATCTGGTGCAGAAGTGGTAACAGAATGGGATTGCACAAGCCCATGATCAGGCAGAAATAATGGGAGATCCAAGGAGAGAGAAAGGTTGGGTCTCGGGGCTGAGTCAGGATATAGGCATTATGCTCTGCATGGCCCCAGTGGGCAGAAACAATACCAATGGGTGGAAATTACAGGGGGCAGATTTTGGCTTGAATAGAGAATAATTTCAAACTACTAATGTACAAAAAAGGAGCAAGCTGTCTCAGTAAGCAATTAGTTCTTTGTCACTGTGAGTATTCAAGTAGAAGCTAGATTACTGCTTTAATCTGTTAGCTACTTTTTCATGTCCATGTGACTTAATTTCATGTCTAGATTGTAAGCTCCTTGAAGGTGGGAGAAGGTCTTACATTTCAATTCAATAAATATTTTTATCATCATCATCATCTCATTTTCATCTTTTCGGGCTAGAAATAGTCTTGGGACAAGTTGCTTTGTTACTATAATTCCTTCATAGTCAATGTTCTATGAACTGTTTTTTACACAGGTGACTAATATAACTCCTTTTTTGTAATTAAACACAAGTATTAAGATGTAAACTTTGCCCTCATAGGTTCGTGGAAAGCATCCCTGATATAGCTACTGGTCCTATATGAGTGGCAAAAAGGACAATAGGGAAGATGTCAACTTTACCTTGTTCCATGTGATTTTGATGCCAGGATTTTTTTCTTTTAACGCAATTTTCTTTACACACAAAAAAATCATTGTCCTATGACTTCTCCCAGCCAAATAAATATCCTTTGAAAGTTTTTCATGCCTTGTAGTTAGGAAATTATGAGTATTCGGGGCAGTGACACCTATTTAAAATATTGTTTTTGAGTTTTTAATGGATCAGTGTTAAGTCTGGGCAAAGCAGTCCAGGCAACTGTTTGTTCTGATAATGGTCTGGTTCTAGGGCTGTTTGTAGGTTGAGTTCCCAAGGGCATTGAGAGGTCAGTCTGTGTTTGTATTGTGGAGATTCGCCATCTGCCAATCCATGAAAGATTGTAGGCTTCTGATGGATATTTTAGCCACCAAGTCAGGCCTTGATAGGTAGTTAGCAGCTGCAAAACTTTTATCACCTGTAGCGGATGTGTTACATATTGTTGTTGAGTGGTTTCAGCCATATCTGATTATTCGTGACCCCATTTGAGATCTTTGCAAAGACACTGGTTTTCCATCTCCTTCTCTAGCTCATTTTTACAGATGAGGAAACTGAGGCAAATAGAGTTAAATGACTTGCCCTGGGTCACACTGCTAGTAAGCATCTGAGGCCTGATTTGGACTCAGGAAGATGAGTCTTCCTGGCTCCAGGCTCCATACTCTATGCTCTATGGTGCCACCTAGCTGTCATAGGATGTTGCATAGCTTCCCCTATCTCCTCACATGTTCTACATTTTTCACTAAATCTGGGATCCTTCAAAATAACCTTTCAGGAGTAGCTAGTAGCAATGACTTGGTTCTGAATAGTCATATTAAACCCCTCTGTTTCTCCAAACAAGTCCACATGACTCAGCCATTTGTTCTACTCCAAAATATTGCTGGCTGAATTCCAAAAGTATTTCTATAGGTTTGGGGCCCATGAATCATGCAAATTCTTTTTCTTCCTTTTTTTCAATGTGGAAGTGTTTGGTCATCTTTCTATAGTTGCTTTACAGTGATGGACCTGAATGTTTTGTTAATACTGGGGGAGCTAAGTGGTGCAATAGATAAGAGTGCTGGGCCTGGAGTCAGGAAGACATGAATTTAGAGAGTAGAACTGTGCTTTAGATATATCAATCTGGTTGTGGTCTGAAAGATGGATTAGAGATGGATTGAGACTGAAAGGAAGGAAACAAACATTGATTAAGTGCATGTGCTAACTAGGTGCCAGGGGCTCTACAAATATTATCTCATCTGATCCTCACAACAACCCTGGAAGGGAGATGCTTTTATTATCCCCATTTCACAGATGAGGAAGCTGAGGCAGAGAAAGGTAAAGTGGCTTGCCCAGTGTCACAAAGCTAGTAAATGTCTGAGGCCAGATTTGAACTCAGGTCTTCCTGACTCCAGGCCCAGCACTCCAATCACTATGCCACCTAGTTTCCTGATCAGGGTTGGGGAGATCAATTATGAGATCACTGAAATGGTCCAGGTGAGACAAGGCTTTAACTAAGGCAATCGCCATGTCAGTAGAGAAAAGGCAACTGATGTGAGATATATTGTGGAGGAGAAATCAGTAAGACTTGGCTGCTTATTAGATATGAAGGCGGGGGGGGGACAGGGAAGAGTCAAGGTGATGTTTAGGTTGCCAACTTGGGTGACTGGAAAAACTACAATGTTATTCCAACTTAATAGACATTTATTAAGTGTCAGATATATGCCAAGCAGTGGGCTTGGGTAGAGTTTGGAATTCTCCCTGTGACCAATTCTCTGCCCGCCCCCCCGAACAACCCTATCCTTACAACGAGTACCACATCTTTGCATTTAGCCATCTTGCATTTTAACTATCTGGTCTAAATTCTCATATGAGCATATCTGGTTTTGGGCGCCTAACTGCATGGCATGTAATAAGCACCAAGTGTATGCTGAATTTATGACCTGCACTTAACATTATAATGTTTAAAGATATACAAGGTTCCTTGTTTTCAAATAACCTTGTATGACAACCCTATGGGGTTGGGAGTACAAGAATTATTACCATTTTACAGCAAAGAAAACTACATCAGAAAAATCAAGTGACTTGCTCAAGGTCACTAGGAAGTGCCCAAGCCACACGTCCAGGCTCCAAGTCCAGTTTCCTTTGCACAAGAATGCTGCCTCTTGGAATTTCTAGTAAAATCATCAGATTCCAGAACTTAGAGCCAGAAGGGACCTCAGAGATTTCAAGTCCAATGTCCTGAGGAAATTGGGGCTGAGAGGGTCAGAAGGAAGAGGGAGAATAAAGATGGGCCAAGAAGAAACCAGGAAGTGGTGAGTAGAACCAGGAGGACAATTTATACACAGAAAACAATATTGTAAGGATGAACAACTTTGAAAGACTTGACAGATCTGATCAACAGAGGACTCATGATTGAATATGCCGTCCACCTCCTGATAGAGAACAGAGACTGATATAGACAGTTGTCCATCCTCCTGATGGACTCAGAGTAGAGATCAAAACATATTTTTTTGGGATACTGCCAATGTGTAAATTTGTTTTGTTTGACTTGTCATATCTGTAATAGGGGTTTTGTTTTTCCTGCTTTCTCAATTCAGGAGGGAGGATAGGAAGAGGGGAGAGAGGTGGGAAAGAGAGAAGGCAGATTTTCATTTGAAAAAATAAAATAAAATTTGATAGGCAAAAAAAAAAAAGAAAGAAAGAAAGAAAGAAAGAAAAAGGAATGACTGGAGAGGATCAGAGAGGTAGAAAGTTTAGTTTGTTTAGTGTTTTTAGGTCACACTCACTTACCTGTTTCATAGTAATCATAGATTTTTACCACAGCTGGTTTTAGGTCTCTTACTGGAATATCTTGGGTCACAGTGAAGGAAAAGGACAATGGCTGATTGGTCATCTGGAATGGGAAAACAGGCATGAGTAACAGCCTGACAGGTTAAGGGATTTATTTTGGATCACATGGTTAAAGTAACAGAGGAGGAGTTACAGGCATTGCCTTCTATTTCTTCCTTATTCCCCCACAACACTCAGAACAGGGTTGATCCATAAACTCTGCTGACTTATCAACCTTACTGTGTTCATGTGGCAGCAAACCTTGGGATGAAAGAGTGGAAAAGGTCAATCACCCAAACATTTCCAAATGTCATGATATTAGGTGTTGTATGAAGTGAGAATAAAGTAATGAGACTGATTTTTATGTTTACCCTGTGAAATTTGTCTTGTTTGCTTTAAAGTAACATAAAATATTTAGACAAATAGAATGTTTTATTTTTTTTCTATTTGGGTGTTTTAGAAGGGAACAAAGTCATACTGGCTAACTCCTGTTTACTTCCTTCTTTACTTGGTACCCTTAAAATGATTCATATAGCTAAGTAGCCATTGGCCATTCTAGGAAGAGGACCCCAATAAAAGCTATCACAGGAAAACCACATATCCTAATTTCTATATAAACCATTTTTCTGCAGACCTCAGAGAAGTTTGAAATGTTATAAAAGAGAAGGGAAAATACCCCAATTTTAACATGGATTACAGCAGGTCATTTTCAAGTTAAACTAGAACAGATTTGACTTTTCTTATTTAATAAGATAAGGGTGAAGGACTCTCACCTTTTCCACATAAAGCAAAACATGATTAGTGCTCACTTCCACTTTGTTCACATGACCAGATGTTACAAGCTGAGAAAAATGGGAGACATCACAAATGTTATTAAATAAATGGAATCCTTAGAGATCACTAAGAGAAAAAAGCAAAGAGAGAGAGAGTTGGATTCCAAAACAGGATAGTGATGGGGTCTCAAATGGGTTTTATAGGTAAGGACTGTACTGCAAAAAGAACAAAGATGAGAAAAGATAAAATGTGCTGTTCTCTTCTTATAGGTCTCACTGTAATGAGCACAGTGCGGAATGCAATAGTCCTTATGGAACTGAATTGGCTTTCCTGGGCATAGAAGCAATGCAGATCTTAGATTCACAAGTGATTTTCACTGGGTTTGGACAAGGTTGTAGTTTTAGGGTGGGTTCATGGAGAGCCCTGCTATATAGAGTTTACTGTGCTCATAACGTACATACCGTCTTCACAGATGGTTTTACAGGGATGAAACCAGACACCATCTTCACATCAATAATCACCATGTTGGAGGAAGGACGACTTCCTATGTAACTGTAGATGCATGGAAGAAAGGAATTAAGGTTTACAAATATCTCCCAATCCTTTGGGGTCTAATTCAAATTCTGCTTCCTTCTGAAAGCTTTCCCAAACCACCCTCACACAAAAAGCTCTTCCTTTTCTGAATTACTAAAAGCTTATAAAAAAAAACAAAAAGAAAAAAAACACTAAAAAAGCTTATGAAAAGAAACAGATCCCTTTCCCTCTCAGAAAATTTAAGTTGAGGGGCAGCTAGGTGGTGCAGTGGAAAGAGCACTGGCCCTGAAGTCAGGAGTATCTGAGTTCAAATCCAGCCTCAAACCAAACACTTGACACTTACTAGCTGTGTGACCCTGGGCAAGTCACTTAACCCCAATTGCCTAAAAAAAAAAATTAAGTTGAAAACTATAAATTGTCGTAATGCAGACTAAGGGCAAAGACAGATTCAATATAGTCTCATTCCACACGATCTGCACTGTTCACATTTGAGAATACACTGTTCTTCCAATATTATATTTAATTTTATTTTTGACTTATTACTTATTATCAAATTTAATTTAATTTAATTCAAGAGTATACTTTCTAAGGTCATTGTGTTAAATCTCTTTGGCTCAGTGAAGTGGTGGAGAACTCTAGTTCTCTGAATCAAAAGGCGAAAATGGAAGGTTTTACCTGGCATTAAATGTGATCTGGAAGGTTTTATGGGCTTTTGCAGAATCACAGGTTGGGGGAATGGTCTGCACTAACAGATGAAATGGAGATCGCGCTTTCTCCACATGGACATTGTATTTCAGAGATGTCTGTAGAATATTAAGAACAGGGTCAGTTTCTCTGTATCCTCAGGATATTTATTTCATTATCACCTTCCATCACCACCAGCTCTCTTCATGACTTTCCATAAGGGGAATGAGTATATCTCACAGGCAAGGTTGACTCTCCCCACCCTATCCCTGGGAATCTCACCTTAAGATATGCACATCCTTTCCCTTTCACTCCTGCATTGTACTCTCCGGGGACCCCTGGCAATGAGACTTGCTGTAGGAGTAGGCGGTTGGCAGAGTTCACTTGAAATTTTTTAGAAAAGCCTCCAGAAGATTGGATAGTCACCTCAACAGGTGTCCCATGTTTACTGTAAGTAGCTGCTCCATATCGGGACAGGGCTTGGAGTGCAACCACTGTGTCCTAGAAGAGATGAATGTGGGAGTTTCCAGTGGGGTAAACATTTGGAGGATAGGATGCCAAACCCTATGTTGAGTGCCACCAGGATAACATTAGGGTATCTGCATTACTTGAACATCTTCTAAAATATGCCAGAGATGTAGTCTACGTACTCACCTCTAGAATGAATGTTTTTGTTTTGTTCTATTTTCATTTATTTATTTATTTGCTTACTTACCTTATGCATTAAAAAAATGTGAGAGGGGATATATCTTTTGGCAATCTCTATTTCCCCCTCTCTGCCATTTCTTATTCAACTCCCACCCCGCATGTAGTAAGACCCTCTTCTCTCATCCCCCTATAAGTACTTTGACTCTCTTTTATCCTACAGCTGACATTAAAAAAATCCATAAAAGAAAAAAGTGACCAGAAGGAGGCATGGAAATAAACAGGATGTTTTTGGCATTTACTGTCATAAAGTTAATTTGTTTTGGGACTGGATCTATGATTTTACTGGCATAGGGAATTCTTTGTGAGGAAACTCCCACTACCAATGCAGATCAGTACCTGCAATTTATAGTCTAAAAAAGTGACTTGGGTCACTGAAAAGTTAAGTGATTTATCCAGTCACATAGCCAATAGATGTCAGAGGTAGGACTTGACCCATGGTCTTCCTGCCTCTGAAATTAGCTCTATCCATTCTGTCATGCTGTCTTACTCAAAGTTAATAGGTACATTTTACAAGCACATTGCAAATAATTTGGAATCTATATAAAATATTTGAAATTATATTTATTTGACTTTTTAATGGCTATTGAATTTAGAATAATAATTTTTAGAAAGATGGTGAGGGACAAATTAAGTGCTATATCTCCTATGTAAGAGAGATAACCATGGAATTCTGTCTATGGACCTAATTACAACTTATAAGTCACTTCACCTAAAATTGTGTTTTTGAAAAACCAATGAATGATGGTTGTATTTAAAGAAAACTTACAAGAAGGACAATGTGGGTGTTTTTGTGGAGAGTACAGGATTGGAATTTGGTGGATGGTACTGGTGTCAAACATAAACTGAAATAGATCCCTGCTGGCCTCATATTGGCTTAGAGAACCACAAATGAACATTACCTGCGTTGTATTATATTTTTTCTTATATTGTTAAACATTTCCTAATTGTATTTTAATCTGGTTCAGACTGCATTCAGGGGTTTTGCTGGGCCTTGCAGCATATGGGCTGCAAGTTTGATATCTCTGCTTCAGTGTCTGCTCCAAACCCTCTCAGAGGAGGACTTCACCTCAACATCTCATGGGAAAAATTGAGGTCATTTACCCTGAGTTCTTCCTTTTCTCTCCTCCTCTCATATCACTTAGATATCTCCATTAACTATCTCTTTATTCCTATCTCAAATGAAGAGGTGACCTTCTTAACAAGGCCAACCCCTCCCATCTTCTTGATCCCATTCACTCTCATCTTCTCCAGCATATTGCCTTCACCATCATTTCCACTCTGTCTCTCTGTCTTTTCTTCAATCTATCCTAATCTACTGGCTCCTTCCCTGCTGCTGAAAAACATGCTCTTGTCTCCCTCATCCTTCAAAAACCCTACCATCTCTGCTAGTTATTGTCCTATATGTCTCCTTCTCTTTGAGGCTAAACTCCATTTCTTCTTTTTGTACTTTCTTTTAAACCCTCTTCAGTCTACCTTTAGACTTCATCATTTACCTGAAACTATTCTCTCCAAAGTTACCAAAGGTCTTTTAATGGCCAAATCTAATAGTTTTTTCTCAATTAAGTTTCCTTTTTGAACTCTCTGTAGCATCTGATCTCTTTCTCTTCCTTAATTATTTTCTCCTTTCTGTTTCTCCTAATACTGTAATCTGCTGGTTCTCCTCCTCTCTGTCCAATAGATCTTTCTCATTCTCCTTTGCCTAGGCCTTCTTATCCATATTATCTTACTTGATTATCTCATGAGCTCCCATGGGTTCAGTGATCATCTCTATGCTAATGATTCTTAGATCTAAATATCTAATCCTAGGCTCTCACTTGAGCTATAGTCCCCCATCCCGCACTGGATATCTCAAACTCTATGTCCCATAGGCATCTCAAAATCAACAAGTCCAAAAAAGAATTCATTATCTTTTCCCCAAAACTGTTCCCTCTTCCCAACTTTCCTATTACTTTGAGGGTGTCACCTTGACTCTTCACTCAAATTCACCTCATATATCCAATTAATTGCCAAATATTGTATTTTTTCCTTTACATCTCACATATATTACACCTTCTCTCTATTTATACAGCCATCACTCTAGACCACACTTTGACTTGCCCAGAGTCACACAGCTAGTTTGAGGCCAGATTTGAACTCATGAAGATGAGTCCTCCTGAATCCAAGCCTAGCACTCTACCCATTGTGCCACCTAGTTGCCCCAAATCCTATTTTCTGCAGGTTTTTCCCAGTCCTCCAGTTGCTAATGCCTTCCTTCTGAAACTGCCTTCTATCTACTCTATATATGTTAAATATTCATGCATTTACATTTGTCTCCCCCATTAGAATGTGAGATCTTTGAAGTCAAGGATAGGTTTTTACCTTTCTTTGTATTCCCACAGCTTAGCAAAATGCCTGCCATAGAGTAAAAGCATAAAAGTAAGTGTCTGTTGACTAACTGGATGATGTCAATCAACCATCCAACAAATATTTATTAAGTACGTACCATGTACCAGGCACTGTACTATGTAAAAAAATATGTATGGTCTTCGCCACTAACTGCTCTTCATACTGACACCGTTCATGTGAAGTACCAGACTCTCACAGCCTCCTGTTTGCTACAGCCATTAAAATGCTTCCATGAAGAAAAAGATAAGGCATTCAGAATTATGACAAGTAGACAGGGAAAGTATAAGGGATGTGGCTATAAAATATAAGGATGTCCCTACAAAATATGAGGAAAGTATAAGGAAGGTAGCCTTCAGAGAAGCCAGTTTGAAAGAGAAAGTTTGAGAAAAAGAGAATGAATGGGAGGGGTGAGTCATACAGCCTATTCTACACTGAATTTCCATGAAGAATTTGGTTGAATGACTAATATAGAAATGTGTTTTGCATGATTGCCAATGATAACCTACATCAAACTGCTTACTGTCTCAGGAAGGAGGTGGGGAGAAAGAGAATTTGGAACTAAATTTTTTTTTTAACGAATGTTAAAATTTGTCTTTACGTGTAATTGGGAAAAATAAAATATTTTTTAAAAGTTAAAAAAATAATTTGGTTGAGACTCTTGATTTCTTCCATTAAGGAAGGAGGAATTTTCTTCCCTAGATTCTCCATGATCTGTCATTTCATTTCCTTAGAGGCAACTCCTCTTGGGATTTTTGAAACTATAGGCCTATCCTAGGCCCCATAATACTAGTGATATGAAATTGTTTTAGGAAGTTATAAGGAAAAAATTATATAGTAGCATTATGGGATAGGGAGTGGATCACCATATAAGTCCTGATTAGTTTCCTTTTTCCCTTCAAAGCTTTATCACTAAAATGCCAATAGAAATAGTCTTCTCATCTCATTCTGTTTCCACCATCTCCCTTCTTCTAATTAGTTGTTTCCCCTTTGCTACCTGATTTGGTAGCTATATTTAAGGTTGCTCCACACCTGAGTAGAAGAGAATCCTCCATGAGGATTCTGCTGCTTGGTGATCCATTTCACAATGTTAAATGCCATCGATAGGTCCTCAGGAGACGGGACAGGAAAGCCAGTGAGGTAAGCAAGGAGCACATAGGAAGTCATCTCCACTTCAGCAGAGGGAGCCTGGGAGTGATAGGAGTATGGTTCTGCTGGCACCTGGGGTCTCTCTGGGCGCTGCCAATAGACTGAGTTGTCTTCAGGGTAAGAATAGAGAGAGAATCAATACCTATTAGTGTTTAATAAGAAGCAACTATACAATTACAATAATTAATTAGAGCAGACCCCGAACCGCAACATGGTTTTAGCTACAGCTGCAATAATCAGCTCTTATATGTTATTACTTCTTTGTTTTGTATCCAGACCTGTAATTCTATTAGTGTAGGCAACTCCATAAAATTTTAAGTTTCAGAGAAAGTGCCAACCTGAATTGGCAGAGGAAACTTCTCATCGGTTCCCTCTACTCTGATGTAATTACGGGTCTGATTGAAATAAAATAAAATGGTCCTGGAATATGGGATTGTAGTAGCATGACTCACCTGCTGTGTGCCTTCTACTGATCCTTCCCGCTGTACAAGGTGACACCTCAGGGAAGGTTTTGCTATAAAAACTCTGATCTTATTTTGTGTGAGTTGAGTTAGTAGTCCTGCTCATCAGAAAAATCCTGAATAAAGGCTGAGGGTTTGAACCCAGTTAGCCCAGGAGCTCCTTCCTCTTCCTGGCCAGAGCAGGGAATCAATGGGAGAAAAAAATAGGAATTGGGATTAAAGTCCCCAAAAAAGCCTTTCACCTTTCTTCACAGCTTCCTTGTCCAACACCGCTAACACCTCGTCTCTTTTGGCTTGATTTCCTGCCAGGGCAAAGGCATAGGCCAGTAATGCTTTGGTGTAGACATTGCTCCCAGATACCCCAGTTTGTTGCATCCTCCAGGCTGACTCCAGGCAGAAAAGTGCATTCCGGACAACAGGGTGCTGTAAGAGAGGAGGGAGAAAGACCTTGATGTACGTGTTGCCACAAGGACAAAAACAAGGGAAGGAGTAGGACAGAAGCTTAACAAGGGCCACAGAATATAGAGGGTGACTCAAAAAAGAATTGAATACTTTCAAAAATGTATTATTTAATTACTAGGTTATATATGAATATGTCAAAACCAATTTGTAAGGGAAGAAAATGAAGAAATGTAAAAATAATGACAATTTGGCACATACCATGCATTCATAAATGTAATATCTTAAATCATTTTAAAAATGACCCTGAATAGTACCACTTGTTTTCTGCCCTTTCCCTTATCCCTGGACTTCTTTATCCATTTTCTGTGGGCAAAGCTACCAGTTGTTCATCTTTGAATGAACTGTGGTTTATGAGGCTGTGCAAATACATGTAATGGGGTAGGGATAAATCAACCTAATCCATTCCCCCTCAAATCCTACAGCTCTAGTGCCCACAGTTCTACTCAAAATGTTGATATTTTGGCCTTCAATGGAGTGAGATGCCATATTGCTGATCATTTCTTTTTATATAGGCAATTGGGTATAATGAAATATTTCAGGGTGATGAGAGGTCACATACAGAGACAGTAAGAGGTATCTCCAACAGAGAGATGGTGATGTAGGCAGAGAGCGTCAGTTCATCTTCTACCCCACCCTGTAAAGAAGAGAGACAGAAACACTTAGCTTTCAGATATCCTAGAAGGTGCCTTCACTTACTTTCATTGTCACCACTTCCTCTCCTATTTCCCCATGGAAGGTTTTCCCATTTAGATATATCCCAATCAGACTCAGTGTGACTACAAACCTCCATTAATTTCTCTCATGCTGAGTGATGATAAGTATTCACCTAGTCCTTATGTTCCAAGCCCTGTGCTATTGTGGATGCAAGTACAAAAAAAGAACAAGAATGACTGCCAAGCCTAGTCTCTACCCTTGTTGACTATAGCCATCTCCCTCACATTCCATCCCAGAAGGTCTCATGCTCTTCCTTCCTTCAGTCATCTTTGATATGAACCATGTTACAAGACCAGCAGGACTTAAACCTTCTACTTACTCCCGTGCCCTAGGGAACACCTCACCTTAAGAGCATTGTTCAGCAGTGAACCTGAGCTTCGGAAACAGCCGCTGTCTTTCTGTTTCTGTGACAGCCAGATGAGGGCTTGGTTGATATGAGTTTCGTCTATGAAGATATAGGACCGAGACTGCGCAAAAGACTTGAGCACAAAAGCAGTGAGCCTGCCCAGGGAAAGAAACAGTAGAGGGTTGAAGTCTTTGTTTTGATACGATGATTCTATACTCTTTTTCTAGGCCTAGGTGCCATATGATCCCAATGCCCACAAGAACCAGCTATTAGTAGAGCTTAGAACAGGATTTAATGTTTTTAATGTTGGAGTTTCTTCCTCATCCCATCCCCACACTTCCTCCATTAGCCTAAAATTAACCTTAATTCAATTTTTAACGATTTATGAAAGATCTACTATGTGCAGGGTGCTGTACTGGGGATAGACAAATGTAACAGTCTCTGCCCCAAAGGAACCTTCATTCCATTGGGAAATACAACACAGACAGAGAAGTAAATACAGGATAATTTAAGGATGGAAAGGGCACATACAGTTGGACAGTTAGGGTGGGGATCACAAAAGAAATGGTGAAGTAAACTAAGCCTTGAAAGATGATAAAGTTTCTGAGACAGAGAGAAGAGGAGGGAGTTTCACCGGCTGTCCTCCATGCCTAGAACTCTCTCCCTCCTCATCTCTGCCTCCTGGCTTCCTTCAAGTCTCAGAGTCCCACCTTCTGCAAGGAGTCTTTCCCAGTTCTCCTTCATCTTAGTGCCTTCCCTCTGAGATTAACTCCAATCTATCCCAATACAGTACCTTATCTTGTTTATATGCAATTGTTTTCCTCCATTAGAAAATTAGAAAAATGTCTCCTCCATTAGAAGTTGAGCTCCTTGAGAGCAAGGACTATTTGGGGTTTTTTTGGTTGGTTGGGGGTTTTTTTTGCCTTTCTTTATATCCCAAGTGCTTAGCACAGTGCCTAGAACACAGTAGGCACTTAATAAATGCTTGTTGATTTGACTTGACTTCCTGCTAAGAGGGAAATCTCCCAGTTCTGTTTGGCTTCACCTTCGCTCTGATTCATTCTGTGAATGAATTGCCTCCAGGTTCTCCTTCTTATGGATCTTAAGGTCTGAGCTTTTATTTTTTCCAGGCTACTGAGGAAATTTTTGCTGTCTGATTACCAATTTGACAATTTCTTTTAATCTTTTTTCATGTATTTCCAGGATAAAAGAACTATTTCACTTACAATTCTTGCCATATGATATGATCTGCAATATCTACCTACCTCAAAAGCTTTAAGCTTCTTTTCCCTCCCTATCACCCCCTTTCTCCATAGCTTTCTATTCATTTCCCTATCTTTCTACTTATTCTGTAGAATCATAGAATCTTAGAGTAGAAGATCACCAAAGGTGGCCCCCAAAAAATGTTTATTCATTTTTTACTTGAAGACCTCTACTGGCAGAGAACTCACTACCTATCAGGCTAGTCCATAGTTTTTCTGGACAGCTCTAATTATTAGGAAGTTATGTCCTATTAAATTGAAATCTTCATCCTCTGTAATTTCTGTCCATTGGTTCTAGTTTCATCCTCTTGAGCAAAGCATAAGTCTAATCCTTCTTTGGTTCTGGTCAAGAATAATTGTCTTACTTAAGACAAATTGGCAACATCTTCTCTGTTAAGTAACAACTTATGCTTTTCTGGATTCAGCTCCTAGCCTTTCTAGATGATGGACAACAATGCCCAGAGCAGGGGTCCAAATTATGGCCCGAGGACCAAATCCTGCACTGTGAGCTAAAAATGGTTTTTACATTTTAAAATAAAACTATTTTAAAATCTAAAAGTTACTCTGAGCTTGGATTTAGCCTTGGGGCCATAGTTTCCCTCCCCTCAAATTAGAGCAATAATAGAATTTTTCAGTTGGAAGGTCTTGGGTCATCCAGTATACTTTATATCTGAGCAGGACTCCCCTTTAACAGACTCTCAGCAGCAGCAATTCAGCCTTTTATTAAAGAACTCCCTTAACGGGGAACTTGTTTCCCTGTTGGGCAGTCCATTTCACTTGTGGACCACCAGAGTGGTTAAGAAACTTTTTCCTGATCCCAACCTGAAATCTACTCTCTGCAACATTTATCCATTTATGCCTTTTGGGGTGATATAAAACTTGCCTTACTTCTACATGGCAGACTTTCAAATAGCTGAAGACAGTTATCATACCAATCTACCCCAAGTTTCCTTTTCTCTGGGATGACATCACCACTTCCTTCACCCAATCCTTGTCTGACATGGTTTTGAATCTCCTCACCAGTGATCAGAGGAGGTCAGTCTCCTCTGGACAGGTTCTAGCTTGTGTCAGTGTGCTTCCTAAAACATGGGGGTTCAGAACTAAACATAAAACTCCAGATGTCGGATAGCCAGGCAAAAACAAAGAGGAACTATATTGGCTTTATTCTGGATACTCTGCTTCTATTTCTCCAGTCTGAAATTGCGTAAGATTTTTTCAGCTGACATACCTCACTAGTGACTCATGTTGAAATTCACTAAATTGGGGTCTTTTTCATAGGAATTGTTTAGGAATTTCATTTATTTAATTAATATCTAATTGATGATAACTTAATTATGAATTAATTTCCCCCAACCAATGACTGAACCTTGTTATCACGGGACCAGGAGTGACGATGGATAGCAAAACATCTTACCAGGTATTACTTTCGCTATGGGGAAAGGTGCTGTAGGAGCCATCTGCGTGTTTATAGTTTAGCTGCCGCTGGTAACCTAAAACAGGATGTTTTATCAAGTTCATCATTAGAAATATCTTATGGTGATCTAGACTCTTTGTCAGTATGGGCCAGGTCAGACAGGGCACTAAAGTGCATAAGAATAGTAACAACTAATTCTATTAGACAGGACCTCCCAGGAGTGTGGAAGGTTCTAGTTCCAACACTCTTATTAGATGGCAAGGAAGGGTTGCCATGATGCCAGATGTTTTCTAGAGAATTGCTAACTCAAATATATTTGTGAAGGGAATAGCTAAGACCATGGGGTTTAGTTTCCTTCCCTTGTCTTACCACTTTGGAGGAATCCAATTGCCTTGGACTTGATCTCTGGTGTTAGCTGATTTGTTTCATTCAGATAATTCAGGACATAAATGTTGGGAGCAAACAGGGCCACATTCTGCTCCCCACAGCCATAGGGCATCTTGAGGAGATTTTGTGTGTCTCTCACGGCAGATCCAAGGATGTCGCCTGCAAAGTAAATGATTTCTTGATTTTTTTTAATTTTTATTTTTTAGTGAGGCAATTGGGGTTAAGTGACTTGCCCAGGGTCACACAGCTAGTAAGTGTCAAGTGTCTGAGGTAGATTTGAACTCAGGTCCTCCTGACTCCAGGGTCAGTGCTCTATCCACTGCGCCACCTAGCTGCCCCTTGTGAAGTAAATGACATGAGAAATCAGAGCCACTAAATAGGAATATGTATCAAAGACAAATAAATCATCTTTAAAATCTCAACTGAAAGAATGAATTACAAGTGGTGAAGAAGTAAAAGTAGAGAGAATTTAGGGAGGTGATGGATCTAGGGAAAGTTAAGAGAATGAGGCAAATGAGAGAGATGTATGGTAATGTAGAGTCAGCCCATGATTAATGATGCTGTCAAGGCTGATGGCAGTTCTCCATGGAGAATTTCAGAAAAACTGTAGGTGAGGTGGGAGCAAGCTATACCAATCCTAAAAATTTACCAAGAGATTGGGGAAAGACATAAATTGGGATTTTCCTAGTCTAGCTCAATGTCTTTTTTGTTGACCAGGCATAGAATCCCTGAGTCTTCAGTCTTTGTTGTCTATTGGTTTTCTGTGGATTTTATTTTGCTACTAGTTTTGACCCAGTCTTCTCTTTAGACTTTGCTGTTCGCATAGGTACATTGAGCTTCATGATCAGCAGTCTTCACCATCAATACCAATTCTGGTTCTTACCTCTGACTATCAAACTCTATTTGTTGTTATGGCACCTCTCCCCCAGCCTCACACCCACACTCTACGCTGCAACGTCCCCACTGAAATCTCATCCCTACTCTCCATCACCACAAGAAACCTTTGGTTAGTAACCATCAAAATCACATAGCAGCGTGGGCAGGGCTGGAGAGAAAAGGACATGTGAGCAAGAGGAAAATGAAGGACTATGGTGATGAGCTGATAGATTAAATATGCAGTTGAAGGAAAGATGGCTCACTCACCCAGAACTGAGAAATAGGCTCTGGCTGATCCTTCCACGACATTGGATGGGAGTTTCAGGGATACTTGTTCAGACAGCTCAGCATCTTGGGAAAGAAGTAAATCAGATACAAGGAAGAAAACTCTCTGTTGACATGTATGTCTCTACCTGAGGAGAACTATGACCAGGGGCTGTAACAGTGGTCATTCATAAAAAATCTTAATGTTATCGATAGGATTGTAGAATAAGAATCTTGAAAGGAGCCTTTTCTCCTATGATCATATTCTCAGAGGCAGCTAGGTGGTACAGTCGATAGGGCATTGAACCTGTAAGTCAGAAAGATCTGAATTCAAATTCTGCCTCACTTATTAGCTGTGTGACCATGGACAAGTCACTTAAACTGTCAGCCTCAGTTTTCTCATCTGTAAAATGAAGATACTAATGGCATTAATACCCCAGGATTATTATGAAGAGAAGATAATATGTGTAAAATGCTTTGCAAACTTTAAAGCACTATATAAATGCTAACTATTAATAATAATAATAATGATTATTATTATTATATGACAAGTTCTTCTTATGGAGAATCACAAAAAGGAAAGATTTCTTTCTTCTTTTTTTCTTTCTTCCCTTTCTTCATTCTTTCCTTCCTTCTTTTCTTTCTTTCTTTCTTTCTTTCATTCTTGTACTCCTTGGATATATTCCAAGTACATGAGGGACAAAATAATGGGCTCTCTAGCCCACTGTCATGCCATCTACACCAGTAAACTCATCAGATTTCATTAGATACACCAGAGCATAATTTTTTTGTTTTTGTTTTTGTTTTGTTTTTAGGCAATTGGGGTTAAGTGACTTGCCCAGGGTCACACAGCTAGTAAGTGTCAAGTGTTTAGTCTGAGGCCAGATTTGAACTCAGGTACTTCTGATTTCAGGGCCGGTGCTCTATCCACTGCGCAACCTTGCTGCCCCTACCAGAGCATAATTTTGATAGGAACCTTTTAAAGATGAAAAAATAAAAAAATTTGAATATTGACTGATAACAATATTTCTTTCACTGCTACTTCAGTCTTGATAAATTTTATGAACTTGAGAGGTAGAGAATTAGTATTTATCTGACGTGTCACATTTTCTTCAGGCCTTCTCTCTGCCATCTAAAGTCAATGTTAAGAATATCAACAACCAAACCTAACCACTTTTTGAAAAAAGCAAATGTTAATGTGCCTTCTGTGTTAGGAGAGACCATCTACTCTAGCTCCCCTATCCTGTTATGCTAAATATTTGCCAATGCTCATGTACTTGTTTTAAAATAGAAAACTATCAAGGAAGTGAGAATAATTGAATCATTTTCTTTCATGTCCAACTCTTCATGACTCCATTTGCGGTTTTCTTGGCAGACATACTCTCGTGGTTTGCCATTTCCTTCTTCAGCCCATTTTACAAATGAGAAAACAGAGACAAACAGAGTTAAATGACTTGCCTAGAGTCACACAGCTAGCATAGGACAGATTTTAACTCAGGAAGAAGAGTCCTTCTGACTCCAGGCCCAGAACTCTATCAACTATGCCACCTAGCTGCCCGGAATAAGAATAGGAAGGATAATAACTCATCTTTACAGAATACATTAAGGTTTCCCAAACACTTTTACCACCATAATTCTGTGAAATCTGTAATGCAAATATTAATATTATAATTAGACTTATATTATAAATATAATTCTAATTCTATAATACTATAATTAATATCAATGGTATTATATTGTGCATATACAATATATACAATTATCTAATATATTTGCATATAGATTATTCAATATTTGCAAGTAAAACATGTTTTATGGGTGAGGAAATTATGCTCAGAGATGACAATGATTTATCCAAGGTCACACAGCTAGTAAAAGTCAGAGCTAAGATTCAAGCACTGATCTCTTGATAGCACACTTTCCCCCACATTTTGTCATTAACCTTTTGGCCCCTTCTCCATTGACTAATATAACAACATGCCTACAGAGGTCATAGAGCAAATACTAATGATGCTGATGGTGAAGGTTCTTACAACTTGTTCTACAGAATAGGGTTACCTTTCTTTGTGGGATTTTCACCCTTTGGGTAAGGTGATGGCTTTTTACATTGCCCCACCAAATCATCCCCCTTTCTCTCAAGGTCAATGTAGTTCAGTTTCTCCTGGGGTCACTCTCTGGCTACTATCCCATGCTATTTTGGTTCTTACCTTTTGGACAAAGCATGGAGTTGAAAGCCTCCTCCTTTTCAATCCCTTCAGGCTTTGGGAAGAGAAAAGAAAAATGCAAAAAAAATGAGAAGGGACCAAGATTAAAGGTGAAGAAAGAATGTAAGATAGTGGTATAAAGGACGGAACTTGTGTTTGTTATAGGGCTTTTGGGTTGGTCAGCCACTCCTATTAGACTCTCACCTTGTTACTGGCTGGTTGCCTAGGTGGGTTTTTGAGGTTCCCTATTGCCTCCAAGATCAACAAAAACCCTCTGCTTGGATTTTAGAGCCCCTTATAAACTGGACCCTTCCTACCTTTCTAGTCCTCTTACACCTTACACTCCCAGCTCATCCTCACATGCTCCGTAATCCAGGGATACTGGCCTCCTTGCTTCTCCTCAGACAAGATGCTCATCTCCTGATTTCAGGCATTTTCCACTGGTTGTCTGCCATCCCAGGAATGCTCTCCCTTCTCATTTCTGCTTCCTAGCTTCCCTGGCTTCCTTTACGTCATCACCAAAGTCCTGCTTTTTACAAAGCTTTCCCACTCCTTAATCTTAGTACTTTCTATCTGAAACTATGCTCAATTTATTCTGTATAGATCTTGTTTATACATAGTTGTTTTCATGTTGTCTCTCCCTGCCCCTTACACTGTAACATCTTTGAAAGTAGGAATTGTCTTTGCCTTTCTTTGTATACCCAGTGCTTACACATAGTAGGCACTTAATAAATGCTTGTTGACTGACTGATTGAATAAATGCTTCTCCATTTTGGGAAGTGGTATCAAAGGAGGTTCCATTCTTTCTGTCATCTTGTTAGCTGTGAGCAAAGAGGAGAAAGGAAAAGAAGAAAGGGAAAAGGAAAAATATGGATAAATAATGGATAAGAGGACAAAGAGAATTAATAAGCTCTAAATATATCTGGACCAATGTTTGGTCTGTGAAAAAAATAATAACTTAAAGGCAAGAAGTAAACAGGCTGTTTGTTCACTGTCAGGAAATTTCTCTCATTATAGTTTTTTCCTTGTGCCAGTGTTGGTAAATTAGAAATAACGTTCTGGAGCTGGAATAGAACCTAAAGATCATCAAGTCACAGAGGATCATAGAATCTCAGAGTTATGAGGGAGTTCAGAGTCTACTCTGTCCAAACTATATCTGGCCAACAGTCCCTTCTACAACATTTCTAAAAAGTGGTCAACCAGTCTTATACTTAGTAGTCAACAAGATGGCACAGTGGTTAGACTGTGGGACCTGGAGTCAGGAAGATCTAAGTCCAAATCCACCTTTATGTGAGCCTAGGCAAGTCACTTAACCTCTCTTAGCCTCAGTTTCCTCATCCATAAAATAGGGATAACAATAGCCCCTACTTCCCCAGGGTTGTTGTGAAGATCAAATGAAATAACATTTGTAAAGCACTTTGCAAAGCCTTTATCCTAGTCAATAACCTATGGTCACTATCTCTTTTGCCAGTATTACTACTAAAATTTGATTAGCAGATTGAACATAGTGCTCTAGTTCTAGTGTGATCGGGGCAAAGTATATCATCTCACTCAATTTGGACACTATTCCTCTCTTATTGAAGCAAATGGAGTTTAAATGACTCTCCCCCTTAACACATCTAGTAAGTATCTGAGACTGGGTGCATCTTTCTCCACTCTATCCACTGTACCACCTAGCTGCCCTAACCTGAAACCTGAGGGTTTAAAAATTACCAACTTTGCAGATGAGGGAAGGTGGTTTTTAGGGAAATATTTTATTATATGGTTTGGAAAACATTGTTTATCGATATTGTTTGAACCTAGCTTGATATGGCTAGAAATTAGCTGATCTCGGGAGATACTCCCAGGGAAGCTGGATGGTTGCAGGGAATGCTTGGATCCCACCCAGGTCTTGGGTCCACTCAATGCTTGTGTTTTGAGTTCCCCAAATTGGAATTGCTGTGCTTACAATTTAATGGATTCAGTTGTCTGGAAACTGCCCTCTCTACAAAATAGCTTAACTGCTATGTGCAGTTCCTAAGGGTACTCTTCTCAGAACCCCTATATAATGTAAATTTTGCAGAGATTGAGGAGAAAATTTTCTTTCAGTCTTGCCCCTCTACCAAATGACCAAATAAATTTCTCTCTAAAACGATTTCAGATTTTGGGGTCCATTCTTGTGACTAACAATTATGGTGAGCAACAGTGGGATCTCCCTGGTGGTTGTCTAGAGTAAACTTGAAGTCTCTGCAAGACCATGGAGGCTGAGTAAGTATTTAATTGGGTGTGTTTTGCTTTGAAATAGATAATAATAATTTACTGTTTGGAGGGGAAAACTATCAGACTTCTTAAGTTGTTCTTGTATGTGAGGTTCCCTGTGACTTTCTATTTGGTCGGAGTTATGAGATCTTATCAATTCAGTGAGAGAAGCTGCTGACAATGAAGTAGGATGCATGTATGAAAGCTCTTACTGTTCTCAATCTGAATTTGTGGTAAACTTCATATCCTAAGCAACCAGATAAACGGACTTTGAGTCTTGCCATCTCTTTGCTAATAGTTATATATTCATATATAAGATTAGGTCTTTAAAGTATCTCATTCTTTCAGTATTCTACAAAGGTAATAAATATCCTCAAAAGGGAGGGAACAGGATGAAGATGTAAATTATTAAAATGGTAATGGAGATAGTAAGTTTCACTTTGAGAAGGCAACAAGATTAGACTGTTTTCTCTAAGAACACAGATATGATTAGCTTCCAAATGTTTCTAATGGGATGTACAGGCTTTGAGCATGTCTTAGTAATAAGTTCTCAAAATTGGATTCAGGATTTTACATGTAAAATTGTGTTAATAATGATAAAGTTTTAAGTCATGGTTTTTCCTTTTTTAGAGATTCTGTCTGATGATATTGAGAGATAGAAGGGCTCAGTTTTAAAGTAAAAGATCCTCACAGATCTTTTAAGTATTCTTCCTTCGGCCTGTTGAAGGAATTGTCCATATCATGGAACAGGGTTCAGGTAAAGATGGATCAAGTGGTACAGGGAAACTGAAACTCTCTGAACTTTCAGTTGAATTATGGATTCCTCATTTGATATTCTTCTTAAAGCTCTGTTGTTAGTAGGATTAGCTCCATAAGGTTTGAGCTAGTTTTCACCACATGAACCAGTAATTAGAAAATCAAGTTTAGGAGGTTGTACTAAATTGTGTTAAGTCGTTGTTCTTGGCAGATTTTAGCAGAATTACCTAGGGAATCTCTGCAGGTGACTTAGAACCAGAGAAACAGATCTGAAGGAACCCCTTCCAGAGCTGCCCTGAGAACAAGATCTATTCCAGAATTTCCCAGGAAAGATGTGTCCAGGGACCAGATAACTACATGTGACAGCTGGCACTCAAGATGAAATATGTTGATTAAATGACATTTAATGTTACAAGTGGGTTAAAAGAAGACCTTATGTTATTTAATCTTGATGATCATTTGACTTTAATGTTTCATGGTATTAATGTTTGCCTGCAAGAGAGGTATGTCCAAATTCCTTTTATTTATTCTTCAGGAATCAGGGCCATTGTTCCTGAACTTTTTGGTCAACTGAAAGTCCATATTCTATTTATATTAACTTTACCTGATCAAAACTTGATTTATGGAATAATAATGTTAACTGTTTGACATTCCTCCAGCAGAAGCCAAACGGAAGTTTGAGCTTCCTAAAATGATCTAGTTACTTGTCAGCCACCTAGCTAACTGTGTAAGAAAGGATTTCTTTATCACTGAGCTTTCTTGGTTACCTTGGTGATATGTAAATCTCCCCTCTCAATCAATCCATTCTGAACCCTCTAAATGGAGGTTTAATCTGTAACCTGACTTAGTTTACTTATGTCTAATGAGCTTTGTCTCCTGAAGGAATGTATGAGATCATGACTGCTCAACTACATTTGTTCAACTTTTATGACATTGAAGGTAGCATGGGATTATGATTTTTTTGTGATACTCATGGCCACAGTACACTTGTTTCTTGTTGTAAAGTTTAAGTACTCTGATTTACTGCCCCTGAAACTTTTGCAAATTAATCCCTCTAACTACAAGACTTTGGGAAAAGTTTGTCACTAGTCTGGCCCCTACCCCTCCTTAAAGGAATTCTATCAAGCTCTGGATGAGACAGGTAGTAAGGAGGATAATATTTGGAATGTTTCAACAGGCGAGGTGAGCAAAAGGACAGGAGTGTTTTTCAGGTGTAGAGAACAGTGTGAAAAAATTTATGGAAACAGGAAAGAGTAGGGCTTGACCATGGCATGATGAATAATACAGTTTGCAGGCTAAATAGAAGGTAGGATACAGCCAGATGGTAGAGGTTGTTAAGTGCTAGGCTAAAGAATTTGAACTTCACTCACACAAGCCACAGAAAACCATTGAAGGGATTTGAACAGAAAAGTGACATGACCAGATCTATGTATATGGGAAGATTAATCTGGGAGGGAATCTATTGCAATAATTCAGGTGGGTGTCATAAAAACTTGTTCTAGAAATGTGGTTGTGAAAAAGGAGAAGAGAGGACATTTCCTATGCCTATAATAAATGAATGAATATCAAACATATTGTGATAGACAGAACTTGACAACCAACTGGATGGGGGAGGTGAGCAAGAGAGAGAGTGAAAAGATAATAGTGTCCAGTTTTGTCCAAGTTCTTAAAGCTGATTAGTGACTGAGCCAATTAGAGCTGAAACTGAAATCATTATCTTTTCTTACTTATAGGTTAAGCGCGTTAGCAAGGGATTTGTGGTCATCTTGATGCTTTCACTAGGATATAACACAACCCACAGGGATATGCTACTGACATACCTCGACTAACAATTCTTTGATGACTGTATCCTTCCTTCCACTCTCAGGAACCATAACCTTCTCATTATGACACAGTTCTTGAGACTCCACTGCCTCTGCACTTGTAACGAAAGTAATATTTCCTTAAAAAAAAGAGAGAGAGAGAGACAGAGATAAGCATATTTCTCTACCACCCTACATCCTCTGATTCCTACAGTTTTCTGCCTTGGGATCAGTTTCCAGAGCATGCTGAGATCCCAGGTTATATTACTATTATTGTTATTATTATTAACACCAACAACTCACCATAAGTTTTACAAAGCACTTACCCTCCAAGGACACAGGTGGCAAGTACTATAATTCCATTTTACAAATGATAAAACTGAGGCTATGAGTAGTAAAAGGACTTGCCTATGCTAATTATTGTTGGTCCTGCAGTATGGATCTGGTCTCTGGACTTTAAGCCCAGCATTCTTGTCAGTACACTCTTCTGTCTCTAAAAAGAATAACAGTTTCCCTTTCCATAGCACTTAAGGCTGAAAAGAAGTGTCCTCACAACTACCTTAGGAGACAGACAGTACAATTACAATAATTTCTATTTTACAGGTAAAGAGAAGAAGGCCTCGTGAGGTTAAATGACTTAACCAGTCATTAAAATTCCATATTTGCATTCATAGGTGATGGGATATGGGCCCAAAGTGAGACCTTTGTCCCAATTAGGCCCCATTTGTCAATGGGCCCTAGAAAACCCTTGGACTGTCCTTGAATTCTCCCACTTGATCAAGGAGATCTCTGGCATTCCCCTGAGGCCATAATTCCATCAATTGGTGTTTCATTTTGGCTACACCCAATCCCCCCCTTCTGTTATCCTTGACCTAGCCTAGCGCTTTTACCTCCCTATGGCCCCAGGCCACTTCCCACCCTTAATCCTATCTAGGCTCCATTTCCCTGGAATTCTATTACCTCATAGACTACTTGGCCACTTCTAGATCCCTCCCATAGTCTTTCTATATATAAGATCCGTCTCATCTCCACTAAGATGCTCTGATTCTTATAATCTAGCCACTGCTAAGATTTTTACAATCTGGCCACTAGCTCACAGGTGCTCAGATTCCTTAAGAGTCTGGCCAATATGGCAGATCTTTAATAAACCTTGTCTTTGGCTGAAAAAGGCTTGGGTTGAATTCTTTCAGGCAGGACCCACATGTCGTGATCTCAGGGTCTCTGAATCCCCAGACCTCTAGACCTCATCAATAGGCACATAGCTGAGAATGTGATTTTCTCCTTTATTTTTTAAAAATAAATTTCATTATATCTTTTTGTTTTTATATCACCTACATTTCCATTGTATCCCTTTCCCTTCCTCCTATACCTTAAGAGTCACCCTTTTACAACAAAGAATTTTTAAAAAGGAAAAAATAGGTCAGCAAAACTAGTCAACTATTTTTAAAATGTGACATGTCATGCAGTATTCCACATCCACAAGCCTCCACTCTTCAAAGAAGTAGAGGGTAGTACCTTCTCACTCTTCTTTGGGACTAAGTGCGGTCATCACAATTCCACATCATTCTATTTTGAATGCTTTTTATTTTTTTTTAACAAATCACATAATATTTGACATTTAGTGATTTCTAAAATTTAGAGGCCTATTTCCTAAGCTATAAATGATTAGTCTGGGTATAAATTTACTCTTTATCTCATGACATAAGGAGAACAGGAGTTGTGAAGTAGCCAATATTGGAGGTCAAATGACATTAAATCCTACCCAGTGAAACATGACAAGCCGAATGAAAAGATGGTGGAGAAGTCAGTTGCATAGACTGGAGAAGTGAAAGGGAGAAACAGGGGGAGGAGTTCCATAAATACTCATGATCCCAAAAGCAGAGACTGGCTTCTCCTTTGCTGGATCCACCTCCAGATTACATCCTCTCACCCCACATGTCCCTCAAGGTTCACCCTGGGCTTTCTTCTCCTCTGCCTCTATATAACTTCACTAGGTGATCTTATCAGTTTCCATGGATTTAATTATCATTTCTTTTTTTGTTTGTTTGTTTTGTTTTTTGCTAAGTGATTTGCCCAGGGTCACACAGTTAGCAAGTGTCTAGTGTCTAAGGCTGCATTTGAACTCGGGTCCTCCTGACTCCAGAGCCAGTGCTCTATCTACTGCACCACCTAGCTGCCCCTCAATTATCATTTCTAAGCTTGATGATTCACAAATCTACCTATCTTGCCCCCACCTCTCTGCTGACCTCTAATCCCCAGCGCTATTCAGGCATCTGTCATAAACTCAATATGTTTAAAACAGATCTCTTTATCTTTCCCCCTAAACCCACCCCAGTGGTGCAAAGGATAGCGCTAGGCCTAAAGTTAGGAAGACTCATCGTCCTGAGTTCAGATCTGCCCTCAGACACTTACTACCTGTGTGACTCTGGGCAAGTCGCTTAACCCTGTTTACCTGTTTCCTCATCTGTAAAATGAACTGAGAAGGAAATGTCAAACTACTCCAGTATCTTTGCCAAGAAAACCCCCAAAATGGAGTCACAAAGAATTAGACATGAATGAAATGACTGAACAACAGCAACAAAACCTCCCTATTTTATTTTCTCCTTTCTCCCCACCTCCTACCTTCCCTTTTACTGTAGAGAGTAACACCAGTCTCTCAGGCTCAAAACCGAGGAGTCATCCTGGATTCTTCACTAGGTCTCATTTCCCATATCCAAACTGGTGTCAACAGCTATGGATTTTACCTTTGTAACACTTCTCAAATACAGCTTCTGACACTACCACCAGTCTAGTGCAAGCCCTGATCACTTCACACCTGGTCTACTGCCAGAGCCTGCAGGTAGGTCTGACTGCCTCAAGTCCTTCCCCACTCTAATCCATCCTCCATTCAGCCACTAATGTGATTTTCCTAAAGTGCAGGTCTGATCATGAGGTCACCCCTCTACTCAAGACACTCCAGTGGCTCCTTATTGCCTCCAAGAACAAATGCAAAATGCTGTTTGGCTTCCAAAGCCCTTCACCAGCTAAGCCTCTCTACCTTTCCAGTCTTCTTAGCCCTTACTCTTCAACATGTACTCTTTCATCTGGTGACACTGGGCTTCTGACTGTTCCATAAACAAGACACTCCATCTCTCAGCTTTGGACATTTTCTCTGGTTGTTCCCCAGGCCTGGAAGACCCTCCCTCCTCAACTTTGTCTGCTCATTTCCCTGGCTTCCTTTAAATTTCAACTAAAATCTCATCTTTTAGAAGAAGCCTTTCCAACCTCTCTTAATTCTAGTGCCTTCTCTCTGTTAATTTTTTCTTATTCATCCTGTATATAGCTTGTTTGTATTTTTTGGTTACATGTTGTATCCCCCATTAGATTGTGAGCTCATTGAAGACAGGGACTGTCTTTTTCCTCCTTTTGTATCTCCAGTGCTTAGCACAATGCCTGGCACATAATAGGCACTTAATAAATGTTTATTGCTTGATTCGAGGAGGTTGAATCACTTACCTAATGATTTGGGAGTCACAGCCCATGAGAATGTTTGATGTTGATTTCCGCAGACACAGTGAGACACATCGCTGTTTTCCTTGGGAACAGCTGAGAATGTGGAAGAGTTTGTCAGCTGTACTTTAACCTGACAACCACAGTAGGGTGGACAGATAAAAGAAATCAGTGAATTAAAAACATAGAAGGATAATCAGACTTTTAGGTCTAGGCTAAATGAAAAGGTCTGTAGGGATTAGAGTTGGAGAGATAAGAGCTTGAGGGATTAGTTGGACTTTAGAATTCACAGGACTGCAGAGAGTATAAATAAATGGATTAAAATAAATAATTTTCTTTTTATTAAAAAAATAATCTTTTTATTAAAATAAATAGTCTTCTGTCTCTTGGGACTTCACCACCATGCTTCAATTGTATTCATACCTTAGAACTTTTCTCCAATCTTATGGCCCCTTCTCTCACCCTCTTCTGGGTGAGTTCTTCCCAGAACTTACATTTTGAGGAAAGGTCCCAGGCCAGCCATCTTTTCTCGGTTTTGCTTCTGACTCTCCAGACTTTACAACCCTTCCATGACCTGGGTACTTTCCCACTTTTTTCCCCTTTTCTATCTGTTTTAGAATATAAGCTTTATGATCTATCTATCTATCTATCTATCTATCTATCTATCTATCTATCTATC